AAGATGCCACAAATCAACCGGACTTACAGCCTAAACATTGTAAGGTGCTTCTGAGAAGTTTTCATTGGTTTGCACACTAAGAAACTATTAGTAATGTAAATTACCTTCCAGCAAAAGTAAGTTAATACACAGGTGGAATCAAAATTTAAGATGATATGTATTTTTATTCTAAAAACATAGCAAATATCAGTGCAAAACCCCTGGCTGGCTTTACAGAGCTTTATAGCATTTCAGATAAATAAATCATCAAATAACCACTGGAAGTCCAATGATTTTTTTTTTTTTAGTTCTCTCTGGCTCAATGCCCAGTTCAGAAACAAAGACACTGGGTGATAATCCTCAGTTGTTTTGTTGCTATGAGTACTATAAAACTGTATATGCACTGCTTTAAAAACAGTATAACTATTAAATGTGCAGGTATATGAGCTTTCAGGACTCTGTTGATGTATTGTTTTGTGTATTATTCCTGCTGGAAGAAGCTCATGTTGGTACATTTCTTAATACAAACAGGACTGTTTGTTGGGTTTAATGGTCACCTTATTCAGTAGCACAGTTATGCAAACGCTTATCTTTTCTAAAAGGGTTACTAAGTGCCAAACCTCTAACGTCATGTTATTGACTCCTACAGACTCACAAACTCCTGTATTTGCAAACTGCTATCAGAAAGCCACAAAGTGAGGTTGTATTTTAATAACTGTCCTTTGACAATGTCACACAGATGCATGAAAAAGATCTAAGACAAACGGCTTTCTTCTTTCAGAACACACAGTTTCTAAAAAATGCGGCAATAACATCCAACAACTATCATGACATGATTGTGGAAGACAGGTACACCAAGGTTAGAGCTTCTTTATAATGTAATATAAAGATATTTGAGTGACTATGACCGCATGATCCAACCTGTGGGCAAAGAAGCTTTGGCCATTTCCAGAAAGGGCACTCTCCTGTTAATCGGGATGGATGTTTGACGGTCTGAGTCCATGTGTCCAAAATACAGGAGATCAAGGATATAAGAGGTCCATGTGGTTCCTGAGATAAAAACCAAGTAAATGTGTGCTCATTAGTGGAAAACAACTCATTCATCTTCATGAAATTATACACTTATAATAGAAAAACAATTACTACGATGACAAACACAGAACCTCACCTGCTTTAGGATAAGTAACTATAAGAATATCATCCGGTCTTGCTTTGAAGTCCTGTACATTGTCCCAGTTGTCGGTAAACATTTTGATCATGGGGATTCCATGGAAGTCAAACACTGTTGGTCGAGGTGGCAGCTCCATCTTTAAGAATGGTTTATTTAGAATGTAAATACTGTCACAGTTTGAAGTTAAACTTTAATAAGCTACTTCACAACTTAAACCTGGTGGTGTCTTTGATATATTTTCTGACCAGCCTCTACACCTGCTTTCCTGCTTGTTGCATCTGATCTACCTACCCGCTGCTCCTCTGTTTCCGCAGCACTGACGTCAGCATTTATACACTCACTACTCCCCCTTTTTCATGCCGACCGTAATATCTTTCAGGCATTGTGTGTTTAATGCTAATGTTCTGACTGCTTTGTGACACTCAACTATATCCTGGATTCTGTCACTTCATGCTCTCTCGTATTTCTTTCCCTTTCTGGCTTTGTGCAACCTTGAACTTGATTTTTGCATTTACCATGATGCCTCATGTGCTGTGCATTTAATTCCTTTGAACTGAACCCTGATAATATCAATACAGTTTTGGGAAAACGGATCATGCTGGCAGAATCTAAAAGTTTAATATCCAGACATATAAGCTGTATACATTAATTTTGGATCATGTCAAAATGTATTCACAATAATGTGGTACATCCAAAATATGTGACCGCATTTGATGTTATTTTGGAAACTGTGTGTAATTGTTTAACATCACTTTATATGATTATAATGACATTTGCACACTTAGCAGAAGTAGTCCTGTATAAATAATAATGTAGAGGGGCGGAACCTTTGACCCTACGTGGTTGCAGCCCCCCGGTTGCATGGTGCGGACCAACTTCCTGTTACCGCTATCTGGAGGAATTTGGGAGTGCTGCTGTTGTTCCTACTCTCACGCTCTTTATGTATTTTGCAGGTTAGTACTCGGTTGAAAACAACTGTGAATGATAGCTCTAAGCTTCGTATGATGTCTAGGTTGCTCAGTCATTATGTTTTGGTGAGTTGTGTAACTTTTAATGTCAGTTTGATTGAAGACTGTTGAGCCGTGGCTCACAACGGCGGTAAAGCCGAGCCGCACCGTCGCGGTCGTGAACGCTATTTTGTAAACTCGCGTGTAAAATGTGTGTATTAGGGCAGAAATTAATGTATTCGGCAGGTATTTCATATGCAAATGGTTGCCTATTGATTTTGTATGACTCCTGATGTGACTTGATGAATGTTTCAGAATGGTTCAGAGTGTTTAGATTGATCAGTTAATACTAGATATTCAATGTTATTTGTTGTACTGAGAAAAATGTGAAAATGTGAAATGAGCTCATTGCACTAAGGCATTCCAAATGTTTGCTAGGTCCAGTTTTAAATGAGCTAAACATGCTCAGTAAGAAAAAGTAAGTAGAGGCACAGTGAGAATAAAGAGTAACTGATTTTTTGCATTACCTACATAGAAGCACTTTAAAGCTGCAGTAATGGATGTTTTCTGGTATTACAAAGATTTATCTGGAAGTGTCATAAGCAGAAATTACATATGGGTTTGAGTAACAAAACATGAATGAATACAGGATTGTGTTTTATTTGACTTGATTAGTCAGTGGTTGTAATGGATATTAAGAGCATTGAAATGTATTGAAAATGAGTTGGAATAAAGATACACAATCTGGAGTAATTTGAGAGTGCTGCTGTCGTTCCTACTCTCACACTCTACATGTATTTTGCAGTCTGTCTTTTCAGAAACTCTCTTTGTGGACGTGGTCACCGTGCCCGTAACAATAACAATTCATTGCCAGTAGAAAAGTGATTAAATATTGTGTCTGTTGTATTTAGGACAAACAAAAGACAGCACAGCCTGCCGTACTAGCAGCAAAAACATACACTCAAGCATTGGTAAAACAGGGAAATGCAACAATCACAAACATGAACATGTGTTCAGCTGTGTTTCTCAGCAACACTAAATAAAATGTAAAATATACAAAAGAATAAGAGCATAAAATGTTCAAAATAAGATCAATCAAAACTCTTTTGTTTATTTTATCTTTAAAGTAAAGACACAGCATTATTGTCCTGGCTTAATGCCCAGATTTAAGATAAGGTTCACAGTTTCATCATTCATCAGCAAGCACACAAATGTACAGTGGATTTGCTGAATATTGTCTGAATATGACTTTACTGCTGGTTACTTTTTCAAAGAGAAAAAAGAATCGTAATACACATCCACCATGTTGAATCAGTGGTTGCTCAACATAGATGTGTCTGGATCTTCCGGATTGAAGAAATCCGTCTGTTGTGTAATACACACGGTACACTGCTGCACAATTTCCTGCAATGAGTGAGAGAGTCTGAGTGGTGTACCATGCAATCCCTTGCTTTCAGGTCAGACAAACCAGGTTTAATCAGGTCATCCAACAACATTACAGGTACAGTGAATAATGACACATAATACATGTGACAGAATCAGAGCTCTGTTTAAACGACCTGACTGGTGAATGGTCTGCCCTTATGTATAGCTTAGTGGTACTCAAAGCGCTTTACAATGTTTTCTCATTCACCCATTCACACACACATTCGTACATCAATCAAGGTTCAAGGTTCAGGGTGACTTTATTGGTACCTGTAGGTAGATTTGTGGCGACAGAGCTGCCATGCAAGACGCTTGCCGGCCATTGGGAGCAACGTCAGGTGCAGTGTTGCATAGTACACCACTCAGAGTCTGTCACTCATTGTAGGACATTGTGCAGCAGTGTACCGTGTGTATTACACAATAGACGGATTTCTTCAATCTGGAAGATCCAGACACATGTATGTTGAGCAAATACTGATTCAACATGGTGGATGCTTTAAAAATGAGTATTTACTAAAAGAAACACTCTAAAATGTTTCTGTGCTGAAACATATTGCAGTTTGAAAAAGTAACCAGCAGTAAAGTCATATACAGACAATATTCAGCGAATCCACTCCACATTTGTGTGCTTGCTGATTAATGATTAAACTGTGAACCTTATCTTAAATCTGGGCATTAAGCCAGGAAAATAATGCTGTGACTAGGGCTGAGCCCGAATAGCCGACTATTCATTTGCTGTGCTAGAATCGGGATATCAAACTGGATCTCTGAATATCCCCGCCGTCGCAGAAACGGAGCCGTCACTGCTAATCTAAACAGAGAAACTGGTCTGTGGAGCCAAATGCGGCCTGTGCGTCGTGTCACGCTCACTCCAGCTCCAAGCGCGCCCGAGCTCAGGTGTTAGAGGCTGGTCAGAAAATATATCAAAGACACCACCAGGTTTAAGTTGTGAAGTAGCTTGTTAAAGTTTAACTTCAAACTGTGACAGTATTTACATTCTAAAATAAACCATTCTTAAAGATGGAGCTGCCACCTCGACCAACAGTGTTCGACTTCCATGGAATCCCCATGATCAAAATGTTTACCGACAACTGGGACAATGTACAGGACATCAAAGTGAAACCGAATGATGTTCTTATAGCTACTTATCCTAAAGCAGGTGAGGTTCTGTGTTTGTCATC